CCAGAGCAGCCAGTGAGATAAGGCATTAAACTGACTGCTTAATTGCCTTTTAGTGTCTCGTTAGTTAGATATGTACATTCTTAATGGTTCTTTAATCTTTATTTACCCGCATAAATAAGTTACCTGTGGATAGGAGCTCTCAGTACTGGACCTTCCCCGCCCCGCCCTGGCGAAACGCTCGCTGTGTGGAACTGCTTTTCGGGCTTCAAAGTTTCGTTGGCTATTTACTTATGTACGATTTAAACATTTAACCTCAGGGTTTAGAAGAAATCCCCCCCCCCCTCAAAAGGTCTGTATTCACGGATGTTGAAGCGGGGTTCTGGGGCAACGCTTCTATTCACCTGATTGACTTCCACGTCGTCCACTCCCTGAACCCAGGCGCACTTAATGGTTCCGCCTCAGCGCCCGGCTGGGTTTTAGCGCGCGGCCCTGGGGACTCTCAAATGACCCTTCAGTAATTATTACGCACTTGAGCCCCGCGTCCTGGTTCCGGTGCTATCAACAACCAAATCAAACCCCAAAATAAACACACGATTTCAAGCATTCACTAGAAAATCTGCATGTTTTCAAGAAGGCCAGAAAGTAAGCAGACAGCCCTCAACCAAACCAAACAAACAAGCGGAAAGAGAAAAAGGCGACGAGGCGGCCGCCGCTGCTCCCTTCGACATCGCTTCAATAGGAAAATCGCTGCCCTGCGTTCTCGAAAAGAGCGCGGCGTGTGTTCGAACTGAATTCCAATCCTGATATTCCCAGTACGCGTTTATAAATGCCTGATATTTCCTTGTCGATTGCTCCAAGAGCAATTTGCTTTGAAGACGAAAGACCGCACGGGGGTCAACGCCGTGATTTTGACAAACGGGCCTGGAGAGTGGGCTGTCCGCTCTAATAAAGGTTCCGAGGCCACAGAGCTAACAGCTGACACCCCCTGATTTTAGTCTGTGGGAAAGTTCCTCCTCCCGCTCCCCCAACCCACCCTGCCCTTTGCCTCGCGCCAAAATGTCCCGGCCTGCGAACTCCGGGGGTTAAGAAACCGCTTTCCGACCCCCCTCGATTTCAGTAGCGCTCGGGTTCACGATAACGTGCCTTTTCCATGATTCCACTGGAAGTGAAACACTTCGAATCCTTTTCAAACTTTCTGGGTGTTTAATGACTTTGTTTTAGGTCTGTTGAAAAGCTGACGTTGTCTTCGTTCCTATTAGAAACGCTCAGTAGTTTACAAACAAAACGGGGCTCAAGTAAAACTTTGGTCACTTTTCTTTTCTCAAAGGCAAAAAAGGCAGCACTGTTTTGTTTATATATATATAAACATATATATATGCAAGTGTCAAACAGGAAAGGCGAGAGGTGAAAGGGGCAGGAGCTCCCAACCCACCCCGGCTTGGGATCGCTTAGTCCAATCAATAAAGTCGTTGCAAACCTCCCACTCTCACTAGTGACTCTGGAAGGGAGGGGGGAGTCGTATGAAAGTGTATCTGCAGCCCCAATCAAAACATCAATTTGGCAATCTGGCCTCTCTCCCCCTGCAGTCCCCAGTTGCCACTTCAAAGCCTTCGCAACAAGTCAGTAATTGTAACGTCGCATCTAAATATTTAAGCGAGAGTCTTGCTGTCGCGTGTCCATTTACAGTCCTCATCTGTCCTCTAATTCCATTACGGCACAAAGCAAAAATGTTTCCCAAAACTCACAAACAGGAAAAGCGTCACGCAGCAGCAGCAGCAGGAGGAGGAGGAGGGAAGGAGGAGGAGGAGGAAGAGGAGGAGGAGAAGGAGAAGGAGGAGGAGATGATGAAGGAGCAGTTTCTATTGATTAGTCACTGCTTTTGTGTTAAGGGCTTTCTTTAAAATAAGAAAAAAATGGGGGGAGGTTGCAGAAATTTCACTAATGTGAGCCTCAGGCAAGGGAGAAAAAAAAAGGAGGAGAAGAAGGGGGGGAGGCGGGCTGTGTCTAGATGAAAGTGAGAAGCACATAAAGGAGGCAATTGAGTCGACTGCAGCCCGGCGAGCTAAGCTTCGAGCCGGCCGGAGCACAGGGGAGGGGCGGCGCGGCGCGGCGCTTTGGCGCAGGGCGCAGGAGTGGGGGGCGGCCCATTGTGGTGGCGCCCGCGGGCCCGCTCGGCCGCGCCGGGGGAGGAACAGAGGCGCCCATTGAGTGGCCGCGGCGCAGGCCGAGCCCACAACCCCAGATGCGGGGACTAGGACCGTGCTCCTCCGTTGCGCCTGCTCCAATCTCGGTGCCGGCAGGGAGAGGAGATGGTTGGCTGGGGTGTGGTGGGGAAGGGGTGGGGGGTTCCTGACTGCCCAGCCTTCTCCCTCCACTCCGGAACGCAAACGGATGGACGAGCCCAACTGGGGCGCAGTGCGCGCCAGGAGGCACTGGCCTGAGCGCACCCGGTAGGCAGGCTGCTGGTCTTGGGGGGGGGGGGGAGATGCAAAGTTGGGGAGGTGCAAGGGGTCTTCTAGGGGAAAGGGGGAGACCAAGAAAGAGGCTGGATCTGACCTCTTCCAGAGGACCTCTCTCCCTGGGCTCCGTGTCCAACTAGCAGAGAGACGTCTCCCCAAAAGCGGTCTCAGAATCTGCACTCGCCAGCCGCAATGAAACTGGAACCTCCAGAGAACGCAGCACACTGGGCAAGACGTGCAAAGGTCCCTCCTTGGGCACCGTCCTCCTCCTCCCTTGCCAAGGCCCACAGAGCCCTTTGTCAACATCCATTCTGTTATAAGCGCAAAGTCCTGTGACTCTGGAGGCCCAAATGACAGAGGAGATTTTTTTTGAGGTTTCTAAACTTTTCAAACTGCATACACTTCACTCTGTCCTGTCTCGGGCCCCTCTTGCCCTGCAGGGCTTTTCTGGAAAGGGAGCTAGAGGAACTGAAGAGACTGAGCTGCATCTTCTTTGACAACCCCAAATTAAATTAGGCTCCGAGGTGTGTGTGTTTTCAACATATAGCCCCTGCTGGGGAGAATACTCTGATTTTAAAAACGGTAGCAATTGCCCTTGAATGGCAGTCGGCCCAGCTAGACGGCCCAAAAGACTAGAAACATTTTGTAGGTGAAATGGGCACTTTTTCCACACTGGAGAGTCCATAAAACTTCCTGGCGCAGCAGCTATTGGGGCTCATTGAATAATTCATCCCTCATTGCAAGCCCATAATGTCTATTCTCGGCCCTTTGTGGGGCTGTTTTCTCTTCTTTTCTCCTTGAATTATAAAAAGGTTGCCTTCCTTTGTTCACATCAAGCTGCTTCGAGCTGGAGCTTTGTCTGGGCCGAGCTAAAGTGTGAGTTTCAATGGACTCTCCAGGCTTTGTCTCCCAAGTTCATCTCCAAGTGTAGATTGTGTAGAGAAGGCCTTCTTTGTAAAAGCTGGAAAAGTTGTACAAATGTTTGACCAGCTCATTTGGGGCGTTTTGTCTCCTGGGCCTGGTTGCCTGTGCGTCCAGAGAATTGCTGATCTGCCTGGCTGGCGCCTCCAGCAACCAGTAGGAAATTCTCCCCCCCCCCCAACTTCCCAAGCCTCTCTGACCACTCAGGCCTCCTGTCCTCCCCCCAAAGGGCCCATTAGGCTTGGGGTTGGCTGGTTTCTACCCTTTTTGCCTCTCCAGCACCTCTATGTTCCATCCAGTCCTGGAATAAAAGCCAGGGTGTCTTCTCAGACACTGAAGTAGAAATGCACCCCTCTGAGGGACTTAGGCTGAGTCTTTTGGGGCCTCTACTTTAAAGGGAAGGAAACAACAGTGCCCCTGCCAATCTGCCATAGGTTTTAGAGTTGCTCCTTCAGCGCCCTATGTGCCAAAGCATCTTGGCTCCTGTTACCCCTGACGTGAGTCCTCTGGCTTTGTCTGTCTAAATCTCAGTGGCCCCTGGAGATGGTGCATGGATTCTGCACTAGTTTGTAAAGAGGACCAGCAGGTCACCCCCAGGGAATGAAGATAATGGCAGCAAACCACTGTCCTGCCCTGGACATCACCTGACTGGGGGTTTCAGTAGTTACCATACCAAGCTCACCTGCCTTTCTAGGGCAGCACAAAACTCAAGTCAATTCAAGAAAGTACTGATCACAGGGGAGGGAATCCCCGAAAGGGGTGGCTCCCCAGCTTTGATTGTTTTAAGAGGTGCAGCCATCTCCTGACACTCCTTCCACTGGTTTAACTCCCACAGGGTTGATATTGGGGCGGAGCCTTGGTACCCCTGGAGTCTGAACACCATTCGCAGCAGGGGAAAGGGAAGCAGGATGCATTCAATGCTCCCTGGGGAGGTTTTCCTCTGGATGGTAACCGGTCACAGCCAACAAGGGGGGGGGCTGCACCTCTATGCAGAGAAAGGTGCCAGCACTTCAGGCCCAGAAATCCAGATCCCCTCAGCTTGTAACCCTTAGCTTAGCTGGTTTAACTTTCCAGGAAACCCAACCCTACCACAATTGAAAACCAACTTAAAACAACAACAAAAAAGCCCAGCCAACTCACACACACTTATAAGGCAGCACAATTTGGGGGTCCCACTGCCAAAAGAGCTTTGCATTTGGGGTTGGCTCCCTTCTTCCTTCTCTCCCTTCCTCCCTCCTTCCTCTCCTCCCTCCCTCCCTCCCTCCCTCCCTTTTCTGAGGGAAACTCTGGGAGACTCAGGCCTGTCCTGAGGGTGAAATAGTTTTTTCACCCTCCGGAGGCTCCCAGACTATCCACAGCTCCCCCCTCTACACCCCCAAGTCCTTCAGTGACCCTCGTTCTCCCTGCCCTGCACCTAACCTAAACCATTAACTCGAATTCTAGCCCAACGGGCTGGGAGGAGTGCGGAGGGAAATGTCATACAAATTAAGCAGAACATAGACGGTTCCTGTGTTCACGGCAAGTGCAGCTCTAGTTTTTCTCTTCAACGCCGGAAAGTGGTTAGGAGCGAAAAGGGGTCTTGGCCCGAGCCGGGCTGCAAGTCCCGGGGGCCCCCAGGTGGCCGGGCGCTGCCGGCCTAGGCACAGGCCCTCCGCGGCGCGGCGCGGGTCGGCGGCTTACCTCGCTCGCTCAGGATGCCGTCGATGCTGTGTTTCGCCTTCTTGTCGCTCTCCTCGGCTTCCTTTCTCTCCAGGTCGGCCTCCTCCTCTTCGCCCTTCCCGAATTTACTCCTCAGGATGCGGCTGATGGAGCTCACTGGGGGTAGGAGGAGGGAAGGCGCGCAGAGCTGAGACACGCGGGGTCCGTGCACCGAGAAGCCCACCCACGGCGGCCAGGCGCCTGTGCCCGCAGGGGCCCCTCCGCCTCTTGAGACAGCCAACCTCCATACACCCCACCCCACACCCCATAATCCCGTGTAGGTTCGGGGAGAAGAGAACCTGTGAAGTTGGCACTTCTAAGTAAATGCCGAGAATCGACATCTTTGTCCTCTTCCCGGCAGGAAGCGGTTCCTTTCAGACACTTCAGACGCGGGTCTAGAATTCTCCCTCCAGCCACACGCACCCCAACCCTTCCTGGAGGCATTGCGCCCGCGGTTCGCGTTAAGGGAAGAAGAACCACAGCGGACCCATCTCTTGCAACTCAACTTTTTGGGAGGCTATAAAGGGTTTAAATTTCAGCTGCAGAATCGTTTCCTATTGTAAAAATCAAAAGAAAATGCACTGCCCCCCCATTTATTTTTTCCAGATTCCAAAATGGTAAACAAATCCATGCTCTGAAATATCTCGTTCTCGCAGGGGGGGAAAGGGAGTTTCCTTTTAATTAAAAACAATCTCTCCCGCGCCCGCGCTAGCCCTGCGCTCTCTCCTCTTCTCCCTCCTCCTCCTCCCGGCTGCCCCGGGCGCCGGATGGTCCCTGGGACTCTCGGGAAATTTCGGGCCTTCGCCGAAGCTTCCCCTCCTTTGCGTACTCGGCAAAGTCTCGGCTGGCGAGGCCCCATCTCCCTTCGATTGGGGTTACCAAAACATTTGTTTCTCTTTAAAAGGGAACATCAATATTAATAAACGCTTGGCCTCCGCTTCTCGTTTCCTGCCCTACCTCCTCGACAGAAATTCTCTTTGGGGAGCCCTCTGCGGAGGTCTGTCAACCTCCAGGATGGGCCGCTCACCCCTCCCTCGTAAAACGTCAAGAATACCCGCTTCTTCAATATTTCAGGTTTGGGGAGGCACTGTCTCCTGCCCTCGCGCGCTCAGGTGGACCATTGGGGGGTGATTAAAGCTCGAATGGCCAGTCCCGGGAATAGCGACCCACGGGCCTCGCCTCTGGAAGACATAAACGGGCCTGGTACCTGAAGGCACAGTGTTGCGATCACAGACCGCGTCCTTGAGTAACTTGTCTCGAATTTCCCAGCTGAACATGCCCGGGTTCTCTCTTTTGTATTCCTCAATTTTCTTCTCCACGTCAGGAGTTGTCACCTGCTTTAAGAGAACAGGCAGGTCGGTACCCTGCGTCAAAGGGGCCACCCCAGCACCTCCTTGCCAGGTCAGGTTCTCCTTCTAGCACCCTCTGGAAATGTCCCCCTTGTTAAAAAAGCACCCCAACTCTCCTGAGGTGAGATATCTTTACTTAAGATAGGGGCCCACAGGAAATCATCCCACCCAGAACACCCTGGGCCCCCCACCCCTGCTCCCCAGATGAGCTCCAGCAGTCACCATTAAATCAAAAGGAGTGATAACATCTGGGGGAGGGGGGTGTGCTCTGATTCCTAGAAATAAAGGCAATAGAATCACCGTAGCATCAACATGAAAATGAAACTAAAAAAGGAATGCTGGAAAGCGGCTCAGAAATCAAGTTCAATTTGCCACTTGTGGCTCTCAAGCCAACAAGCACAAGATTTTAGTCCAAGTTGAGAGTGAAACGAAAGGTCAAAGTCGAAAAACTAGATTAAAAAATATATAAGTCAGTGTGGATAGCAAATACGGATAATTTAAGTCACTGGGTCCATTTTTTTTTTTTTTTAATAAAAGGAATTTTCAACTATGGGTATACTTTGGAGGTGGGTGTGGTCTGGTGGCTTATCTGAAGAGGTGTGAACCTGTGCCCCTAAATTATATACAGTGTTGTAAACCACGGTTACAGCAATGAAAAATTATTCAATATTTGAAATCTTCATAACAACAACAACAAAGGATTTCCAGAGAGCCTCAGAGAGTCTGCAAAAGAAGCTGAAGTAGGAGAGACAAGAATGAGGTGTTTGGAAGCCTTCAGTTTACTGGAGCTCTTCTTTTGATTTGCCCTGTGGCGACTAGAAAATTACACTGGATTTCCCTGCTTCCAGAAGAACCCCTTCTCCTACTCAGCCTAATCACTGTGACTTTTCTTTCCTTTTAAAAAAGGAAACCAAAATAATTTGAGGATAGCACTAAACTGCTTTTGAAAAGTCCAGTCCTCCACCCATTGTGAAAAAAAAAAAACAAACCAGATCAGTCTAGCTTTTGTCCCCTTCAAGACAATTTTGACCAGAGAAGATTGGGGAAGGGAGTTGGGAAAGAAATCACTAGAAACTCCCGAGTGGCTGCTTAAATTGGTTGGGTAAGTGGGTGGGAGCTGGGAAGATACTTGGCAAAGAAATCAACAGGTGGGCACACAAAACTAGCCAGCTCTAGGTATTTGCCTATTGAACTAATCTAGTGGAAATTCTAGGATTCCGGGGCATAAAAAACCATGTTATATCTTGTTTGCGAAAGATCTTCTTTGCAAGGCTGGGTTTTTTTCTTTGGCATTTATCAAGCAGCAAGGCTCAGGCAGTTATCCGATTCCCTCACCACCCATCCACACACAAAAAATGCATAATCTTTGGACTATGCAAAAAACTTCACGCAAAATCCCAAGTGGCAGTCCTTGCCCCTTACCCTCTTCCCTAAACCTGAAGACCCAGGCAGAGAGGCCGCCAGGGCCCACAGTGTCCCTCACCTTGGGCTTGCTGCCCCCGATGGCACCGGGGCGGATGGAGCCTGTCTCCTGGTACCTGCACAGGATCTTAGAGACGCAGCCGTGGGACACCCGTAACTGGCGGGAGATGACACAGGGCCGGATGCCGTGGTGAGCCATCTCCACGATCTTGTGTCGGATGTGGTTAGGCAGCGGCCTACCGTTGATAAAGACACCGCCAAGCTGGTTGACACGACCCTGTCCAAGGGGAGTGGAGACTGGAGCAAGAGGTGAAAGGAAACACAGGAAGAAAGTTATTTGGGGGAGAACAGAGAGCAATCCCCCAAAGGAGCCTTTCTAGCCCTGCTCTGATAGGGCCAGCCCGCATGTTATAGCCTCGCCTGGGGTCCCAGGCACAGACTCTTTTTCAACCACATTTGTTTAAATTGTTGAGCAGTTCAGAGGAGATCATCCGAACTGAAGAGAGAAGCTGGGGCCAAAATAATGTGCCCGGGAGAAACTGTCTTCTCTCTAGAACAAGAATGGTGGCAACTTTAGGGTGTGGGGGGCAATCGAGATAATCTAGAAAGAGCCTCGAAACAGAGAAGTTTAGACTGAAGCAGGCTTTCTCAAACTCCGCTGAAACTCACTCCCCGGCAGCCGGGCAGCCCCCAGTCTAAGGGGGAGCCCACAGCCCTTGGCGATCGTGGCTGTGACTGCAGCAGCCAAAGGTCAAAGAGGGTCTCCCAGGAGGCTGCAGGTGGCAGCACGTGTCACCTGTTAATTCTCGGGCAGAGGCAACAGTCGGATCTGTTCACAGGCCTCCTTGCCCCCCACCGACGTCTGAGGATTTTATTCTGGCCCCACAGCGGCGGGCAGGCGCCAGGGGAGCCACCGCGCTCCATGCGTCTCAACCTCGAAAACTGTCTAGGACTCAAGCTTGAGCATTTGCCTGAGTCCCTGTCATTTCCAAACCCTGAAACTTCAGGGTTATGAAAATTCCCGGATACTACTTCAGATGAATAAAATTCGAATTAATCAATCAATCAATAGAAAAATTCCCAGCACTGGGCCGTGCAATTCCCAGCCACAACGTTGCGTCGGCCAGGAAACCTTCCGAAACTAGTAAGAGTTTTGCGAAAATGCCCGCGGCCAAGATCAATTTTGAGACACCTTTGGGGAGACAAAATGCTTTCTGACGCTCAGAAGCCGGTTCAACCGTCCCCGCCTCGGCATCTCGTTACAACAGTGGGACGCGGACCTGGCGGGGAGCAGGCCCAGCTCCGCGGAGATTTACGCAAAGAAGCCGGGCCCGTTTGCAGGGCGAAAATGGAGTGGGATGTCGCCCCGACTGTTAGCTTCTGGGGCGACGGCGCCCCTGGACGCGCCGAAGGAGCCGGGGGGACCCTGGGTAGGGTGGAGCAGCGGCTTCCAGGCCGCGGGCTCGAGCGGCCCTCCCTTACCTTCCAGAGGGAACCCGCTGCGCGGGTAGTTCTGGCCCGGGCCCGGCCGCATCATCCTGGGCACAGCTCCGGCCAGCGTGGTCATCCTGGGGCAGCTTCGCTTGGAAATTATATCCAGGTGAAAGCGGAATGGAACGGCGACCGCGGCGCCGGTGGCCCTCGGGAACTCCCCGGAGCGTGCACAGCTCCTCCCCAAAAAGTCTGGAGAGGGAGGGAGGGACGCGGGGAAGAGGACCGCTCGCTTCTAGTCCCGAGAGAGGCTGGAGAGGGAACCCGGGAAGGAGTAGACAGGGAAGCCCGGGAGTCCAGGAGCCAGCGCTCAGGGCGGAAAAGTTTGGTACGAGTCTGGGCGAGTGGCCCCGCGGCTTGGGGCGCTGGGGAGGGGGCTCGGAGCAGCGCGAGGAGCCAGGGAGGGGGGTGGGGGCGGGAGCGCTGCCGGCCCGAGTCTCCTCCCGTCGTGACACCGAGTGCGGGGATCCGGGCTCGGGAGCATTTATTAGTTCTTTCACCCAAAGCTTGGTCAGGAGCCCTGAGCTGCGATTGGCCGACGGGGAGACCGTCCCGGGTGGCGGAGACACGCGCTGATTGGGCGACAGCGGCCACTTTCTCTTCCCATCCCTGGCGCTGCTGAGGCCGCCACCGGCCCGGAGGGGACCCGCACTGCGCCCCTTACCCGGGAGAAAGGCGCAGACCCCTGGAAACTGGGAGCGACTGCCCAGGGAGCTGGCAGCTGCTGAGAGAAGAGAGGGCCCCGCTCTCTGACCACGTGGGTCTCTCTCCCTGACTTTCTGTTTCTCTGTCACTTTGTCTCCGTCTCTGCATGCACCTCTGTCTTTTACTCGTCACTTCTCATTCCGTCTCTCTGTGAGTCTGTATGTCTCTCTTTCTCTCCTTATTGCTACTGGAGGGGGTGCAACTCCTATAAGGCATTGGGGAGCCCCCTGATATGTTCTACTTTCCTTTCACTGGTCAATGCCTCTCGGCCTAGGTTTCTTACAGGGTCTTCCCTGGGGGCTTCTTCCCACCAGGAGGCCCGGGTGTGCTGATAAGTTCCTTTGTTTTCTCAGTCTGGGGCAGGGGTAGTGTGAAGCTTTATGCAGCCCAGGGGAAGCTGGAGCTGAAAGCTGAGGATGAGAGGGCGGGAGAAAAAAAAAAAAAAAAACAACCCACTCCTCTTCTTGATTGCAAAACCTACTCTGGGAAGCCCCAGCTCTAAATCTCAACTTATAGATTCCCAATGTGTAGGCAGAAATGCATCTATAAGTTAAAGTTTTGCCCGGCTGCAGCATTTGTTCTCAGGAATTTATTATGGCATTCAGGCTAAACTGCTGGAAAAATAAAAGGATCGAAGTCTTGGCTAGGAGCTGAAGTGTCCCCAGCAGGATATGACGCCAGGAGTGTTGTAAAGACTGTCTGTCCTTAGAGAAGGTGCCATTGTGCATGGGCTTTTATTTATAACTTGGTAAGTGCCAGCGAACTCGCCTCCTTTACACCCCCGAGTGCCAGCCCCGAGCTCTGCACTTCGCTTTATTCGCTGGAGTCTATTCAGGGACTGTCACTCCGGGGCTGCGAGGTATTCAGGGCCTTAATCAATCAAAAGGATGAGAATCAGGCAGGTTTTCCCCTTTGAAATAAAGGACACAATGACTTCTGGGCTTCGAATTCCCTCTTTCCTTTTACAATTTTAGAATTTTTCCTGCACCAGTGTTCTCCACCCCTCTCTCCTTTCCCCTTTCTTCCAACTGTTCTGACATTTTTTTAGGGGAACTCAGGCTCCAAACCCCACATACCCACCTCCCAATTAGGGTGAATTCAGAAAGTAAGATTATTATATATAGGCCTGGGCCCAAAATCAAAAGTTTTGGTTGACTCTAAAAGCAGCCCAGACAGGACTCTGGTGACACCCTAAATTAGGTAGCATCCCCTTACCTACGCCCTAGGGGGGAGGTGCCCCCAACTTTCACAGTAAAAAGGAAGGTACCTATGTGAATGAAGCCCAGTGTAACCTGGTTTTATGTAACACGAGTCAACTTATCAGGGAAAATGTTCTCAGTTTCCTTTTTGCATACTTGGGGGCCATCAAAAATCTGGGTCCTTGTTTCCTCAGCCACTTCTAGGGATTCCATCTAGGGAGCTAGATTTTTTCCCAAACTTTCTGTGTCCAGAAGAATGTGTGGAGCTGACAGAGCACTTGGGGGGGGGGACATAATTGTTGGAAGAGGGGAGCACTCCAAACCAATCGAAACAGAGTAAATGCAACTTCACCGCCTCTAGAAGGAAGCCAGGACCCACAGCAGTGGCTAAAGAACGTCCAGGGATGGATCTTATTTGTGTTTGAGCCCAGGATTCGTTCTCCAAGCCCTGCCAGCGGGGACCCGCGCTGTCAGCCGAGTGTTCTGGCATATCCGGGAAGAACGGGCTTGTTGCAAACTTGTTCTCCCGGGTTGCGCGTGCAAGCGGTGGGATTGCTGGGGCGAGAGAGAGGACGTCTGGATGGAGATACTGGCGGTGGAATTGGGTCTTGAGTGCTCCCGGGACCCATTCAGCACGCGCATCCACATACGAACCATCACTGCTACAAAAATGTACAAGTGGAGGCCTCGAGGCCGTGTGTCGTTTGGAGCCTTGGAGCTCCGGGTAGGAAGGCGATCGGTTTTCTCTCCGTGTCCGAATCTCTCGCGCCAAAGAGCTCTGAGTTTATCAGCAGACTGAGGATAAACTCAGCCCTTCTAACTTCCCAACTCACTCGGGCTTCAGCCAGGGGACCCCGGAGACCCAGATGGGGGAGGGAAGGCATCATCCTCCAAGTCCCGGCAACAGAAGGGGTTGGCAGAGGGGGCAATTCCAAAGATCGCGGGAGTCCAAACCCCCTGAGGCTACGATGCCCGAAGTTCCACCTGATAGGGCCGGGACAGGTTTCCCGACCCGAGATGGGCATTAGGAGCCAGGTCAGACCAGGCCCAGAACCGGGACTGGGGTCCGCCGGGAGCAACAGGTTGCAGGAGAGCAAGAGTCGGGAAGTTTCCAGTTTGCCCGCAGGTTCCGGGACAAGACGCACCGTCTTCTACACTCCAACTACGCTTTCCTTAGGTCCGAAGCTGCCACCTCGCCAAACATCTTTCCAATGTCTCCCCGCAAGTCGGAGCCTTCCTGCTGCCCACTCCCGGGAGCAGGAAGAGAGTCTCCACCCAGGCCCTGAGCTTAGCCGGGAGCCCAAAGGCCACCAGTGTCCGAATCTGGCGGCTATATAGGCGCTAGTTGGCAAAGGAGTGACCCCGCTGTAGGGCTCAGAAGGCGAGTGCCGGCGCCCTGCAGTCCCGGACCTAGATTTGCGCTGCAGCGTCACTTTCAGGAGCTGACAGATCACCCAGAAAGTAGCTGGGGGAGTCTCTGCGAATGCACGGTGTCCACCCGTGCTATCTGTGCAAAATGAAACTGAAGCCTGAGGGGGGAAAGTAGACACTTTGACCATAAAAAATAAAAAAGAGGAAAATAACTTGCCACTGCTACCTCCTGCTGTTAATCTCACTGCAGGTGAAATTGACAGCCGCAGCACTACCGGGTGCGTGTCTGGTGGGGGGAGGGGAGCCTGCCGCGCGTTCTTTTGAAGGCTCCCCTCGCTGTGGGTTGGATGCCGGGGTCCACTGTCCAATGGGGGTCGATTAGCATCCGCTCAGGACGACGCGACAGCTCTCGGCACTCAGTCCCGCGCTGTGGACCCTGGGGCCAAGGGTTTCATGGCCCACGGACTTCTCGGGGCCTCTGAGGCTGACCTCATTTCTAGCCAGATACAGGCCTTAAGAGAAAATCATGATAGACGTCAAATATCGTTCGTGATCTAGTGAAGGAAGAGGAGAGATAGTTTCTGCCACGCAGGTCTTTTTCTTTCTTTCCTTTTTTCCCTATTTTTGTCCCTTCTGGAAGGCCGCGCGGTGGACAGTCAGAGTCGCGCGCCGAGGCGCCTAGCCACCCGTCTGTCCCAGGCTGCAATCTCAGGTTTTAGAAAAGGCCACGCAGCCCTCGATGGCGAAGAAAGGGAAGGAAACCCCAAGGCCAGATCTTTTCCACCCCCTCACTGGCCGGAGGCGAGGACCCCTTGTTGGAGAAACCTCGAGTTAAACCTGAGGCCCTTCTCGGCACCCCAGTCGTCAGTGACAGTAACTGCGGGCGTCCCCTCCTCTCCCCCGCAGTTACTTGTCAAAAGCTCTGGCGCCGCCATTCTCTCTTCTTGGGAAATTAGTCGGGATGAAGTCGGATCGAGAGACCAGACGGGACCGGGCGCCGCACTGAAATGTGGGGTGGGCCTGAGCAGTGGGTTTGTCTTTGCGCTGCCTCTGAAACTGGGGAGCCACGGGAGAACTTGTGAGTGAGTTCTCAATAAAGAACATATGGTTTGTGGGAAGAAAAGAAGGAAGAAAGAAAAAAAGAAAGAAAAAAGAAGAGAGGGGAAAGAAACCAATTTTTAAATCTGAAAGATGGTAATGGAGGAAAAGAAAGAATTTCAGCCTGACTTGTCTCCTACAGACGTTCGTTTGTTTCTGAAAAATATGTATATATGCAAATAAAGGAGACAAGATGACAGAGGCTGGAGGGGAGCAGCATCTCATAAAAAGGGGCCCCCTCTAATCTTAAAAAATGTTCTGCCCCACTCAGTCAGAGTCCATGGGGAATTGGAAGTTTAGAAGAAAAGTGAGTAACTGCTCTTCTGTTATAAGCATGCTCTCGGGTGCTGGCATCTTGGGTGAAGGTTGCAGGGCTCGGCAGGGGGACTGGCTGTTAGTGGGGCCAGCCTGGCCCTCGGGGAAAGGAGGAAGAGAGCAGCCAAGCAGAGGCTCTGAGCTGGGGACGGAAGCAAGGAAAGCTGAGGCTGTGAGAGAAATCCGTAGGTTTCTGCGCTATCTGGACCTGCTGGAAAGCCAATGACCACTCCAGGAAATCCTCCCCAGAGGGACACTTCTGCACACAGAAAGCCCTGACTGTGGGCTCCTCCCAGGAGGGTAGAAAGAGGAGAGGAGAGGAGAGGAGAGGAGAGGAGAGGAGAGGAGAGGAGAGGAGAGGAGAGGACAGCTGTGGGGTGTGGGGAGAGCTAAGCTCTCCCTTGGACCAGGTTGGTCTCCTGCAGACTCCAAGTGGCCTGGGGACAACACTCTGAGTTGCTGCCACTTCTCAGAATGAATTCCTTCAAACCTTGCTGGAAATGTCTCTTCCAGGAATTTCAGAGAAGGATGGAAGGCACATGAGCAAGGGAGGAGGGGAGGTTTGGAAGGCGGCGATGCAAACCTAAGGTTTCTAGCTTAGCCTGGATGCAGGATGCAGGCCACAGGGGCTCTGAAGGCAGCAGAATTGGGCGAGTCCAGGACACGCCACCCCAGTGTTTCACAAGTGCAGGGTTGTGGAGTCCAGAGCAGCCAGCTGGGCAGAGCAAGCGCAACGTGTGAGGGAAGGTGGAGAAGGCTGGGAAGCTGAGAG